GTCCCGAGAAGGAAGCACCTTGCCATTTGGTGTTTCTTGATATGGGGAAAGAGGGTCTGCTTGTTCTCCTTTAATAACAAAAAAACACTTGTAGACTTGACATGAAGTCTACTTGAAAATGGGTTAGTTTTGCATTTGACCAAAACTTTGACTTTATAGAGCAAACTTCTGGTGGAGACGCTGACTGAAGACTGCAGATAGAGTCTGCTTGGAGGTTATTTCTGGCATTGACCAGAAGTACGGATGAGTTAGTTTTGCGTTTGACCAAAATCTCAAACATTGACCAGGAAAAATATTTATCGGCGGACTTCTTATGCAGTATGCTATTTATTCAATTAATTAGCAGACTTCAGAAGAAGTCTACTAATAAATTAATTCGATATTTGGTCAATCACAAAACTAACCTTCTTTGCAAGTAGACTTCAGATGGAGTCTGCTCGTAAAATCAACAATTTGGTCAGTTGGAAAAGTAACCCGTCCTTTTTTAGCAGACTTTATCTGCAGTCTACTCATTTCAGCAGACTTCTGATAGAGTCTACTGGTTTTCCACGTATTTAGTATACTCCAACATAAGTCTACTGCGAAAAGTCAAACTCTGGTCAATTGCAATAATAACCTTTTTATTTAGCAGATTTCATAGAGAAGTCTACTGAAAAAGTCAAACTATGGTCAAATGCAAAAGTAACCCAATAGACTTCTGATAGAGTCTGCTAGCGTTTGCCGTAATTGCAAAACTAACCCATTATGTAGACTTCACCTGCAGTCTACTAATAGACAGCCGACGCGAGTCTACTATAGAAGTCTGCTTGTAAAGTCTGCAGATTTAATTTTCTTAGAAATGCATTTAAAACTTATTTATAACAATTTTTTTAGATTTTCTTGCTCCCACATGTGTGTTATCTAATATGTTTCTTTCTGTGTGAATTTGACATATTTAGGTGCAATATTTATTGTATAAATCAATTTTCGTGTTTGAGTAGTACTTAGTTGTTGTTGGTAGACGTCTGACTTAAGTCCACTAGTAGACTACATTTGTAGTCTGTGTTGTAGTTTTTAATTAAAAAATCTTTTTAAAATTTTGTATAATGAATTTTTCAGATTTTTTCATCAAAAATGTGTGTTAATTATTTTTCTTCCTTATGGCTGAGTTTGACATCTTCTGTTATAATCCATCTAATTTTTAATGATTAATTAGTCTTTCGCTCTTTCTAGCAGACTGTGTATGAAGTCTACAACAGATGTTCGTGACCTAATATGTTTTCTATTTGTTTATTTTACAGAGAATGGTTCAGTTAGTTGTTGTCTATGGAGAATGGGTTATTCAAGATAAGGCGTGGTAATTTGTGGTTAATAATCTTAAAGGAGGGAGACTGTTTTTTTTTTAGTGATGATTGCACCCATTGTGATCTTTTTGAGATGGCAAAAGATGAATATAAGCTGGAATCCGACTTGGTGGAGATCACTTATGCACTATCGGAACCAATTTTGCAACATATGGCGCCGAATCCTCCTCCAGTGCATGTCACAAATGATAGACATGTTCACAATTTGATCGAACTAAGTAGAGCGCATGTCATACGTCTTTGTGTCTCGATTCGGTTGGAGATGGATTGTGATGTCAACAATGACTGTGATGGAATTTTGGACAGTGGTTGTGAAGAATATACAGACGTAGATGCTGAGGAATGCGAGGATGGAGATGGTGACGACTATGGGCATGGTACGGAAAATGGTGCGAATGAAGAAGATCATGTTATCGAAGGTGGTGATGGTGTCGATGATATCAAAATTGATGGTGTTGGTATCAATGAAGATTACAGTGTTTACGGAAAAGTGAAAGATGAGGATCAAGATGATATCACATTTGATGGTGTTGGTGGGAGTGAGCATTGTCTTGGCGAAGGAGCAAGATCAAAATTGACATGGTATGATGGTATATTTGTCAGACAGAGTTTTAGTAGCAAGGATGAGCTGCTTAGAGAGTTGCGATCGATGGCTGTGATGTCAAGATTTGCATTCAAAACATACAGGTCTACTAAAACTCTGTTAGTCGCTACGTGTCGTGTGAAAGGATGCAAGTGGAAAGTCAGAACGGGTGTGACAAATGAACCAAACTGGTTCTGGGTGACAAAGTATATTAAAAATCATAGCGGAGAGAGTTTCTCACAGGAGACGCTCTACTCCAAAGTATGTTGGTAAGTTATTTATCGAGCGTGTCGGAATAATCGATGGAGTTACGCCGAAGCATATACAAGATTCAATGAAGATGATGTTTGGTATGAATCTGGATTATTCCACTTCATACAGATCATTGATATACGCCCAAGAAACGGTGAGGTGAATTGCTGAACATGGATATGAAAATCTCCCATCTTATTTGCATATGATCAAGGAAGCAAATCTGGGAATATTGACCGCTCTTGAGGTTGATGCTGACAATAGATTTAAATATCTATTTATATCGTTCGGAGCATCCATAGCTGGTTTTCATTATCTTAGATGAGTAATCGTGGTCGATGGGACTCATTTAAGTGGAAAGTATGAAGGTG